TCACGTAACATCTTTTTCCTGTACTGGAGGCAAAATGGATGCATTTACCCCATGCTTGCTCGCCTTGTTTTCAAAAACTTGAGTTTTGTCTTGATAGGGAATGCTTTAATCTTCCAGGCACATGTGCAACCTCTCCACATATCACAGTAAATTCTTCTTTGAATATTAAGTGAGCAACTGTTCTAAGCCAAAAAAACATTAGAAGGCTGCTGAAGTGCTGGCAATGCAGAAATGCTGATACTCCCTCTCGTGGTTTAACTGAAATAAGACAAACCTAGGAAACTGTAAATGGTTAATGAATTGTTTTCCTGGCTGAATATCTTGTGTAGTTTGGTTAGTAATCAGTTGCTAGAAATGCTTGTGATTCACCAAGAATCTGTCTCACAAGGAAAGTACTCACTTGTGCCTTTCTAGAAAAGACAATAAAATTAACTAAATCACAGTTTTGTTTGTAACAGATGTATTTTCAACCAGCCTGCCATCTCATTCTAGCTTTGTTTTAGAGTTATAGAGTACTATTGTCCATTTGCTCATGCGTGTTTGAAGGGATTTAATAGTAAGGGATGGTGGCAAATTTGTGTTCTGACATCTAGAATTGAAAGCCACCAAACTAATCACTGACTAAAACATGCATTAAATAAAATCAGTTTTAAGTGCCTGCATGGACTATGGCCACACTGATGCCTTACAGGTCTGAGAGACCGAATGGGCAATTTTCAGACTCCCAATTCAGGTTCCCAGCTAGACTCAAGTCTAAGCCAAATAGATTCTGTATCCAGGGAAGTGTTTTCTTCTGTGTTACTCTATGCACAGCAGTAAAAACTAGTGAAACAGTCTGGTGGACATGGTGCAAGAATAAAAGATGCTCATCTTTTTCCTGTATTTCACAACAGTCTATGACCCAAATTGGAGCAGAGTGTCTTAGGATTTCTGAGTCTTAGTTCTGGCATTGTAGCAACATCTAAAGATTATGACATAGCTATTCACTGAGACCTGGCAGATCCAGTTCGAAGGGCACCACAGGACTGTGCATTCAACTTGTATCAGTCATTCGATGGTAAATTCAGTAGAAATGCTGAGGTCAGATAGAACCATTTCTATAATGAGGAATTAAACACCACAAACCAAAACCAAAGCAAAGAATGTGACAGATTTCTCATACTGAGCATATGAACTTAGAGGACAGTGCCTCACCATTACTGATCTGATGCCTCAATCATTGTCCAGTCCTACGTAAATATAAAGGTTTAAGATGCTCCAGTTTTCCAAACTGTAAGTAACCATAAGTAGACGTTCTAAGGAATTGCACCAAGCAAAATCAAGCTGCCATAAAGATCATGTGTGGCACTAATTGCAATTTAACTGCATGGTTATTACAAGAGCTTTTAATTAACCCAGTCATCATACTGTGGCATACAAATTGTGCATAATAGCAGCATGCTGAGTATAATGACAATAGGTTTGTCTGAACTGTGAAAATTAGGAGTTTTATCATTTTCTGAGGTTTCTTTTTATGTCCTTAAATATTGTGCGGTATTTAAGAACATTTCACCAAAGGAAAAAAGAAGACAGAAAATTGCCTAGGTAGTTGCTGAGGCTTGTCTGTTTTAAAATTTTATAGTAGCCTTTAATTCTTCCTGAAATTCAGTGGGATGCGTAATTCTCTCCTGAATAATATTTCTGGTGATTTTTCAGTCTTGCTTTCCTCAGGGTGTCTCTTCAAGGATCATCTTACACACACTTTAAGGATTTTGTGTTGTTGAAGCCAAGAAAAATGCTCATTTTGTGGAAACATTTAGTGGGAATACCACCACTTCAGTGAAACTGGAAGATAATAATAATACATTCTGATCAGATATTGCTGGAAAATGTTCATTTATTGAAATGGTCACTTATTAATCACCCTGCAGTCAGTCTCCAGGAGTGCCTAGACAGCTAAGTTGCACACTCAGTGACTAGGAAGAGTGATGAGCTATGATCATGAATTGATATCCTATGTCATACAAAATTCTTGGTAGCACATTTTACAAAAAATAAAATGGGAGTTCTTGTGAATTTGTATCTATTGACATCTAGATGAGAAAGCCAGACATAAAATCCCTTGATACTTTCAACATCCATAGTCCAAATCATTAAACTGTCATCTTGGATCATTAAATCTCGCAATGTTGCAATGCAAGTTTCCACCATGCTAACTGTTCACTGTATGCTCTGTGTAACTGTGCTGAACATACCGTAATAGTTCATCAACCCTGGAAGTTCTATGCATATTAAAAATGTGATGGGGATATATTACAGAAAAAATGGAAATATGCTGTTATTCACAACACATCATACTCTCTGAGGTTACTGTTACTGTCTACATGATAATATACTTCCCTTACAGGAAATAAAATACATGTGGTGACTTTCTTATACACCTGGTCTACCTTCAAAATGAGTGTTTTTACTGTTTTCATTCCACTATAAAATGTCTAATTATATCTTTTCTGCATTCATTATGGATATAATGTTAAGAAATATGATAATTAATGATGCTTTTCTTAGTCTAATGTCTACAGAGTTTTCTTTTTAAAATGGAATTAATTTAAACTGAATTGATAGGTATGTGTTCTTTCCTTCTTCTTGTGACTTTTTTTCCTTTTAGGTGAAAAAGATATGTGGTCCTCCTGTAAGGAAGCCTACGCAGTCTCCAGGTTGCTCCTTTGATCAAAACAAAGATGATCAAGGGTTGAAGATGTTCTCGAGAGACAGTGAAGAAACGCTCGCCAAGAGAAGAAAGTAAGACATTAGTTTTACAGCCAGAAAGAAAGAATAAAGTAAGCCATTAATTTTACAACAGAATAGATTTTATTCAATGCAATGGCATGCATTACTAGAGAATAAAGAAAGACTCCAAAAAAAATGGCATGCATTACTAGAGAATAAAGACTCCAAAAACCGAAGCATTTCAGCAATGCAGTCTACTCTTACATTTTGGAAAGAGTAGTTTCATGACTAGATTTTGTGTTCTGAAATAATGGACATATGACCAAAGTCATTTGGTGTGGTTTGAAGTATTTAAAGGAGTGGAGAACACTGGTAGAATATGAATGTTAGCTAAATATTTATGTGTAATTTTTCAAGTTACATTACACCTGCACATCAGCAGGCATTATGAAATCTGTCAAAAGTGACTGTGACTTGTTTCAGAAGACTACTTGTACAAATTGGTAAGACAGAAAAAATGAATGACTCTTCTTACATACCTTTCTACTATTAAAAAGGAGACAACTAAGCATTTGAGACTAAGTCTTGAAAACCTTGTTCAAGCAAGACCCGTTGATTTTTTTTCCTCTGGCTCTTTTGCCAGTATATAGTGAATTGAGGTGACTGTACAGACTTGGAGTTTAAATTTAAGCCTGGTTCAGCATTACAAGATAAAATTTGCCTAACAATGTATGAGTTCAGTGTTTAAGCTGCCATTACAATTTGTGGAAAAGATAATTCATTTCAGCTGCCCACACATCTACAAACACCCAGTGCCACTCAAAGATATCCTTGGGTATCCCAACTGATCTTCTTCTGCCAAGAAGGATGCAGGTGTCCTGTAAGTTGTATCAACCAGCTTTCTGCTGATATCTTGGGTAGCTGAAGGTATCTCGAAGGCCAGTCTGTATTTAGACAAGTTAATCAAGGATTTAATGATTGTCCAAGAGACCTTAAGGGGCGTGAGAGGCCGTGGGCAACACCAAGCAACGTTGTTTTCCCTCGATGTCTGCTTGCCTGACATTCTGGAGATGTTTCATGGCATGCAACAGGCTCTGCACCAAAAAGAGGGAAGGGGAAGAAAGTTTGAGATCCACTGGTGCAGATTTCAGTTTGACAACTTCATAGTTTTCATCTGCAGTTGCTGCCTCCTGGATCACCTCCTTCCTGATTAGTCACAATCACTTTATATTTCACTTTATATTCCCATGGCAACTGCAAGAATTCCTCACATGGAAGAGCGACTTCAGCAAATCCTCACAGCCTGATTCTACAGAAGTGCTCTTCACTTACTCCACCTTATTTACCTCCTATATACTTCTGGCAGGAGGTTGCTCTCAGCAACTTTCACAGGCTTTAGCTGTAAAGAATAGGCTTCTCCAAGCTGTGAAGATTTGAGGGAAAACAAATAAATGAAAGGATACCAATAAATATGATTCCTAAGAGTTCCCTGATTTGCTATTGTTTTTCAAATGCATCTCCAGATGAAAGTTTACTTTTTTAAGTACATGGTGGCCTGCCTCTGCCTGAGCTTTTCCTGAATTATTTTTACCATTGGACCTAAACTGGTATTTTCTGGTATTGTGTGGTACAAGAAGAAAAAGAAATTTTGTTGTGCTTTTGATAGCAAAAACCCTGGTATTTTCTGGTATTGTGTGGTACAGGAAGAAAAAGAAATTTCGTTGTGCTTTTGATAGCAAAAAAATTGTTAGATGAATTTTAATAAAATATTTAAGCAGAACTTTCCATAGCAACATGCAAACTTGAAAGTATGAAATGCTTTTCCCTCCAGAATTTCATATTGCAGACAGCTTTTAGCACAGAGAATGAAATAGTAAAAAAACCCGTGAACATTTCCAAAGAAACAGATAAAAAGTATCTTCAGCTTCCACTGACTGTAATTGCACATTTGTTCTCAGCTGCCTATAATTACATGCTATCTGGTCTAGAAGATGATGATGTGAAAATTGACATTCATACCATCTGCCCTTCTAACTACTTTGGTCAGACGTCAACAGGGGGCTGAAATCTGATATTACTTCTCTATTAACTTTAGTTTTGCCTCAGGATGTATTTACTAATAAACTCAATGACCTTTCTGTTAGAATGCAGTTTGTCACTGCAATAAGATATTATTGCAGATATTTAAAATTTGTAAAAAATTTTCTTCAGAAGAAACTCCAACTATTCAGTTTGAGAGTCTCTCAAAACACTAGTTTTCATCCAGAATGTAAATGCAAAACATAGACAAAATCAAAATCAATCCCACTTAGTGGGAATTGGAGGAAAATTGCAAACACACTGTGCACACTGGATTCAGATTTGGGTGTGGAGAAATAAAAGTTAGGTCTATTCATGGCTAGGAGAGTGTGGATGAATCATATTTACATAGTTAAAATCTATTGCACATAGGCAATTATATGATGCATAGTCAAAACTGACCCTACCTGAGAGTTTTCAGAACTGCAGTGTTAGAATTAGTAGGGCAGTCACATCACATTTAATAGGCATAGTAAATAAAAATCACTGTGGTTTGTGTAAAATATTTGCCCTATTACAAGAAGAACATTTGGATTTTGAGAGGATGGACCATATATAATCACTCATATTTTATCTGTCTTAATTTGAAGTCAACAATACTTAGCAATTTAATTCCTTATACTATTTTAGATCTACATTGATTAAATATAGGGAAATATATAGAATATTTCCAGCAATTTTTCACAACTCCAGACACTATACAAGAGGTTAACATAAAGTGAAGCTTGCTGGTTTAGACTACAGCATTTGCTGGTGCTTTTCTTTGTGCCTGCAAATCCTAGATAACTCAGTAAAGTGTTCTATACCAGAATGAATAAATATTTTGATTTTTCACAGCAGGATCAGGTCTCCTAGGAAGAGATTTTCAATACATAACCAAACAATTTATATTACACATCACAATTCAGTTAAGGACGTACTAAGTAAAAAGTAATGCACTTGTTTTGAGTTAAGTACCAAACCTTACCATTAGCTCTGGGCATCTTGACAATTATTTAAAATAATAATGCATAATTTATAAGCTACCAGCACAGCACATGGTAGAACTGATGTAATTTTTCAGACAGTTATTTAAATCTCCACTAAATATTTAACACCTACATCTTAAACCCATCGTGCCTAAATCTTGAGTTGCTGCATAACACTAACAAATACCCTTTGTAGTAATTGTAACAATGTGCAGGGGTCTAGTTGCTAGCACTTTTGAAAAACAGGTGACTTATTTTTTATTTTACTATGGGGTTTTTTTGGTGGATTTTTTTTGGTTTATTTGTCCAAGTGTAGCATTGTAAACTGTATCATCACTATGCAAGAAAATTTCAGCTTGAAGGAAAATAGTTCCTCTTTCAAAACATGAGTAAAGAAGGCTAAAATTTCAGCAAATGGGAGTATAAGCTTGGTAAGCTACTGAAGTGTCTCTAAAGAAATCAAACTTATATAGCAGGAAGTTGACAAATTGATTTAAAATATCACTGGAACCAGTGGAGAGTAATTAAATAAGCATATTCCTTATCTTCTTGTAGAAGTGCACAACAGCAGTACTGCTTAATGTTGACACTGTCAATTATTTCTTGTGATCCCCTGTGCAGGGAATTTATCAGCCACCTCCGGCTCTTCAGGGCGTTTTACGGTGGCCTGGCTGATCAGCTGTGTGGCAATGAGTTGGCAGCTCCTGATGGACTCCCATGTTGGAATGGAGAAGATGTCGTAAGAAGGTACCTTTCTGACTCATTTTTGTCTTTTTTCTTTGGTATTTCATGTTTCTCTAAACTAGCTTCCATTTGAGTCAAATACATTATTTCCCCATGCATGTGTCAAGATTAGTTTGAAAAATAAATCAGCATGGATTTCCTTCTCTCAGGGTTCATCTGTAAGCAATAAACAAAATCTCCTTGCATCTCTGAGGGAAAAAAAATTTCTACTGTTCTTCAGATATTTTTTCTTCAAATTTACAGCACCTAAGCATACACAGGAAAAGAATCTGGATTGGCATTTACAAAATACAATTAGGGAAAAAATGTGGATTTTTGTTTGAGCTTGATCTTTATAAAATGTTCTTTTTAATGCAGAGTGTGATAACAGAGTCAAGCTTAAAACTTTCACTGGCTATGAAGAATGAAGTAATCTCATAATATATATGGTTTCTCAGGAGAGAGCTAAAAGCTCAAACATGAAAATAAAACATTTTAAAGGTGAAACGTATTTTTTTTACATATGCAGCAGCTTGGTAACATCATTCAGCAGCAATGGCAAAGAAGAAATAATAAGTTGCTATGCTCCTGGATGTGTATCTCTGGAATATATTCCACAGATTACAAAACACTGGCATTTCTGGATGGCGGAATGATTTTCAGGGAGCTGATCTCTATGCTTCTGCTTTATTGCTTCAATCACCAAAAAAAGTCCTTGTGATGACAGAGACCAAAGTGTTGAAAGGTTCATTGCAATTATTTTTAATAAAAATCATGATGTTAGTGTGACATTTACTAGTAGGTAATATCAAAGGTCATATCAAAGAAGGCTCAAGGCTGTGAGGTGAGTTAATAAAGTGTGGGATAGGTGGTACCAAGTAGATGGAACGGTGGGCAGCCTGCACATTTAGGTGTCTCTGAAAAGGTTACGTAGGAGCTGTCATTTATTGATTAACAATACCTAAGGAAACTTGATGGACATCCTTTCAGCAAACAGCTACAGGCCTACTTTTCTTTATCTTCTTGGGCAATCCAGTGCTTTGGCAGCACCAGGGACCAGTGGGTGGTTGACTCCATGGATAGTCTCATTGGCAACCTTTGTCCTAAGATTTCAGCAATCTTCTGAAGATGCCATGTTCCTTCTTTAGGTATCTATATTTGAGATTTAATCTCAACTCTACCTCCTGGGCTTGTTTTGTTGTCCTTGGCAAAATGACTTAATAGTATCCCTACCAAATCTGCCAGTAACAGTTTGAAGTAAGTGTTTTGTAATTGCATACTACAGGTTCCTGTATCATTACTTTTGTCTGCTTATATGCTTACTATTAATATATTATATCTTTTCAAACCTATATTATGATATTATAAAGTGCTATTATATTGTATCTATTAGTACATTATATGATTATACTATTGCCATGTTTATACTGTAATGCATATATTTATATTTTTGGCCAGTAAATGTTTGTGATAGCTTCATGAAAGAGCTGAGATGTAGATAATATTTAGAAGTACAGAATGATGATCCAAACCAGAAGAGCAGGATACTCAGAGTTGCTCTAGATTATCGCCTGGAGCTGAGACCTGCAGATTAGTTCCTATATCTCAATACCTCTGCATGAACACAAAACATAACGTGGTACATGTTCTCCTGTTTCAGTAGCTATATGAAGGTGTTCACATCTGTTCCCTTCTACCCATTCATTTTGCCTTCTGATTCAGTAAAAATGCCCTTTGTTCAATTTTCATTATGTTTGTTCTTTTGTATCTAAGGAGTAAAGACTTTCCTGCACTTTGAGTGAAATAAGGGCTTTTTAACTATTATTATTATTATTATTACAGAAATGACGATATAGGGAAAATAAATAGGCACTCTTCATGCTTAGGCACCTCTGTGTGCTGGCATTGAAAGTAAGGCATGTGTTACACAAGCCTGTGGGAGAGGAACACACAAACTGGGTATGCAGGGCCTGGAGATTTCTCGCCCTCTTTTTTTTTTCTTTTCCCCGGGTTGGAAAAGACTTCAGAGATCATGGAGTCCAACCCTACCGTCA